TTCGTAATTAGGTCAAACTGGTAATTCAGCAGTGAAAACATCCAAGTAACATGATGCATTCATATGTATGTAATATAGTTCATGGGACAATATGAAGCTCACATAAAATCATACTAAAGTATCTCACTTTTTTCAACAAACATCCTGACATCAAATCTAATTGTACACATAAGACGCCTATACCTGATCGCTACTTGGACCTTTTGTATTTGTAGAACATTTGTAATCATGTATGCGGGAAGGCTAAAACTCTGATCATATGGAGTTACTCCCCTTGGACTAAAGTTCTGTCATGCACACACCAGCTGTTAAGTGAGTGAGGAGGATTTGAAGCCGTTTGTAACGGCTATATTGAGTTAGTGGTTTTTTTGACAGAATTCAAATAAATTCACAGCAGAAATAAACTAGAACGGGCTTCAGATTCGTGCCTTTGGCATACAAAGCGACCATTTAAAACCCCATGCTGTCCTGTAAATAAAGAGAACCTTGATTATTAATGATAATTTTGATGTTCTAATTTTTATGACAACCAAGTGTTGGATTCAAGGTTGTCTCTGCCTCAATTTTTTTAGTCAAAAGTAAGGTCCTTATACTGTGTTAATTGGTTTTGCAGTAAAGTCAGAATACAAATACATTGAAAACGAAGTCATTTCGAACAAAAGTTGCTGCTATGTCTGCAGTGTCTCATTTATGTAAGAAACAACACGGATGTGGATACAGTACCTACCAGGGTATTACATTTTGTTATACCGTACCAAGATTGTCCTAAAATTAAGAATTTTGTTTTGTTAATGGTAAGTGTGTACAAACATGGGGTATTTTAATGCCACTTCAGTTATAAGGCGTACATAAATTAGGGTAAGTTAATGCCACTTCATTATACAGTGCATTATAACTTGGCCTCACAATACGTACAAACTTTGGGTATTTTAATGCCACTACATCATACATAGTATAATACCTTGGCTTCACAATATGTACAAACGTGTGGTATTTTAATGCCACTTCAGATATACAGAGTACATAAACTAGACTTCACAATATGTACAAACGTGGGTATGTTAATGCCAATTCAATATACAGAGTATATAAACTAGACTTCACAATATGTACAAACGTGTGGTATTTTAATGCCAATTCAATATACAGAGTACATAAACTAGGCTTCACAATATGTACAAACGTGTGGTATTTTAATGCCACTTCAGATATACAGAGTAAATAAACTAGACTTCACAATATGTACAAACGTGTGGTATTTTAATGCCACTTCAGATATACAGAATACATAAACTACGCTTCACAGTATCTACACAAAGGGTATTTTGATGCCACTTCTGCTAAACAGTGACATGTTGTACAGTGATGCAAGGGGTAGTCATGCACTGCTTTGATGAAACTGCCATAATCATAATCAGGCTGAATCTGGGACCCTTTTCCAGTGTATCAAGTAACACAATTCTGTACAGCGCTGTGCCTGTGGACCACTGTGACCAATAACTCTTAAAACAATGACATCCTTGGTACACACAGAACAGTGACATCATGTGTACACACAACAAAACAGTCACATCATGCTTACACACAAAACAGTGACATCATATATAAACACACAAGCAGTAACAAAAATATGATGTACCTACCATACTATCGTCATGTGTACACAAAAAACGGTGACATCATGTGTACACACAAAACAATGGCATCATGTGTACACACAAAACAGTGACATCATGTGTACACACAAAACAGTGTCATCATGTGTACACAAAAAACGGTGTCATCATGTGTACACACAAAACAGTGACATCATGTGTACACACAAACAGTGGCATCATGTGTACACACAAAACTGTGGCATCATCTGTTCACACAAAACACTTGCATCATCTGTATACATAAAACGATGACATCATCTGTACACACAAAACAGTTACATAATGTGTACACACAAAACAGTAGCATCATGTGTACACACAAAACAGTGACATAATCTTTACACACAAAACAGTGACATCATGTGTACACACAAAACAGTGGCATATGTATACACGAAACAGTGGCATCTGAATACACGAAACAGTGGCATCATCTGTGCACCCAAAACAGTGACATCATGTGTACACCCAAAACAGTGACATCATGTGTACACACAAAACAGAGGCATCATCATTACACACAAAACATCATGATTGTGTTCACATAAAACACTGCTAGTGTTTGATTTCAAAACCCTGGACAACCCTGGTGAACATGGTTGACCAAAGAATGACCAAAGTTATCTTGTGTTGACTATTGTTAGCACATGTTATCTGACTTGCATCAAACTTCAGTTGACCAGAGTTGCTCATACCTACTGAACCCGTGGGATGCAGTACTCTGGTGATGTCATTGTTAAAGCTAATTTATTAGTTTTAATTGATTCGATCATGGAAATTAGATCTTGCACGTTCACTGATGTTGAAACAAAACACTAAAATTACAGTCTCTATGGCAATATGGCTGCAATGAATGACGGAGTTGCTTAGTAGTTAAAAACAGCACACAGGAAACAATTACCTTTGCATATATCTACATTAAAAGAAAATATAATCTCTTGAATATTTCTGCTACATGTGATTATGCTTGTACGGTGAATCAGTCTACACCCTGATAATCGTGCCGGAAGTGTGACCTAAACAAACAAATCTCCACCAGGAATTAATGTAGAACAATTAACTTTCTCTATGGCGTGTAAACAACATGTTATATGTTTATTGAAAGTAGCTACATTGCATATTGTTCTTGTTGTATATGGACACAATGCACCAACACAACTCACTATCACGCAGCAAAGGAGAAGGTGATATTTATTTGTGTAGAAGTGAATATTATCCCTGCACATCCAGTCCCATGCAACTTGCAGATTCTGCTGTCAGATTCATACCCCAACAATATGTCTGGCAACAATATGCGTGTGTGTATGTTAACCTAACAATAATGCCTTTCTCCATATAAAGTTACATCACTGCATACAGTATATTGCACCATCACAGGGAAACTGTTCGAGGGTCACCATGGAAACAGTGCAATACAAAAGATGATTGTTTTATATAAGTGGTTACCATATTGACTTCATTCAGATGAAAGCAACTTGAAAGGTTCGAGTAAGTGTATATTAAATCAAACTTCTTTGATTTATTGATGATGGGCTTCATATCATCCAGAAATGTATCATTCCCATCATCTTGTCATGAGGTGCAGATATATTAAAGATCTTTTTTATTGATTAAGTCTTGAAAATTAGAATTGTTTTGAAGCTTTGTTTTCTGATCACACAATTTCTAATGTTTGAGCAGTGAGTTCAAGCCCTCGCATCAAGGACTGGTGAAGGTTTGTTTGTCCCAGAAGAGTGAATGAGCTATTGATGTTGAGTGTCATTTTACACAATTTAGGTTTCATGCATCTCTGTGAGTTTGTGTGGAGTTCTTTTGGCTTCTGTATTATGATGGTTTCTAAGGAAGCCTAGGGGATAAAGCAGTCACTCGTGTGAGTTTGTGTTAAGTTATTTTGGCTTCTGCATAATAAAGGTTACTGCGGTGTACTCGCGTATACAGCTGTCATTCGTGTGAGTTTGTGTGGAGTTCTTTTGGCTTCTGAATAATAAAGGTTACTGCGGTAGCCTAGTGGATACAGCTGTCACCCGTGTGAGTTTGTGTGGAGTTCTTTTGGCTTCTGCATAATAAAGGTTGCTGCAGTGTACTCGTGTATACAGCTGTCACTCGTGTGAGTTTGTGTGGAGTTCTTTTGGCTTCTGCATAATAAAGGTTGCTGCGGTAGCCTAGTGGATACAACAGTCACTCGTGTGAGTTTGTGTGGAGTTCTTTTGGCTTCTGCATAATAAAGGTTGCTGCGGTGTACTCACGTATACAGCTGTCACTTGTGTGAGTTTGTGTGAGTTCTTTTCGCTTCTGCATAATAAAGGTTGCTGCGGTAGCCTAGTGGATACAGCAGTCACTCGTGTGAGTTTGTGTGGAGTTCTTTTGGCTTCTGCATAATAAAGGTTGCTGCGGTGTACTCACGTATACAGCTGTCACTCGTGTGAATTTGTGTGGAGTTCTTTTGGCTTCTGCATAATAAAGGTTGCTGCGGTGTACTCGCGTATACAGCTGTCACTTGTGTGAGTTTGTGTGGAGTTCTTTTGGCTTCTGCATAATAAAGGTTGCTGCGGTAGCCTAGCGTATACAGCAGTCACTCCTGTGAGTTTGTGTGGAGTTCTTTTGGCTTCTGCATAATAAAGGTTGCTGCGGTGTACTCACGTATACAGCAGTCACTCGTGTGAATTTGTGTGGAGTTCTTTTGGCTTCTGTATAATAAAGGTTCCTGAGGTAGCCTAGTGGATACAGCAGTCACCCGTGTAAGTTTGTATGGAGTTCTTTTGGCTTCTGTATAATAAAGGTTGCTGCGGTAGCCTAGCGTATGCAGCAGTCACTCGTGTGAGTTTGTGTGCAGTTCTTTTAGCTTCTGTATAATAAAGGTTCCTGAGGTAGCCTAGCGGATACAGCAGTCACTTGTGTGAGTTCTTTTCTGTTCATTTGGTCCCCAGCAAACTATTGTACAAGTCAACTGTATGGATCAGGTAGGACAGGATCAGCGATTTGGTTGATTGCATGTCACTGACTGTTTGTGTGTGCTAATAATATCAATCACAGGATTGCCTGGTCAAGACTTGTTTAGTGATAGGCAGCATGTGGCTTGAATATTGCTCAGTGTTGGCATTTACCTACAAACAATGAAATGTGCAACAGCAGACATCTTTGACCAGTAATTGGCAGTCATAATCATGGTCATTTGATCTTTGATATAAAGATTTCACTGATTGTTGAAGGTGACCTGTCTTTGGTAAGGTACATCACATACCAAATTTGACTTAAATCCAACATTATTGTCCATGGCCTGTCCAGCAGACATCTAGGACCAGCTAACAACACTGACCAGAGATAACAGAATGTCAATTTGGATTACTGAAAGTTTATTCATTGCACAAATGATGCATGGTAAACAAAATGTCTTTGGTTCTAGAGACCTACAGTAAGCCATAAATAATGAGACAATATGGATTCACGAACAATCTACGCTACGCTAGAAACATGTACAATAAATACAATGTGGTTGATTCTCAGGACATAAAATATGAACAGCAAAACCCCAAGGTTGGTAGGAAATGAACTGTAAAATATACAGGGGGCAAGTTCTAATTCCTATAATTCAAAATCATCACAAACCAAGACAGCCATCTTGGTTCTATTTTTTTTAATAGACATCCAACACACAGCTCTATGGCACATAGAGAAAGAATTGAAACTGACAAATATTTGATGCTATACATTTTTACATGACCTATATCAGAACCAGAATCGGTAAACAGGAGCCAGACATCTTTGTTGATTAATATACACAATAAACTCAAGCTAGTGGAACTGTTCCACTGTGGCACCTATGCTGTTTGTGTTCAAAAAGAAGATATTTACATTTAGCAAAGGCAATGTACAAATTTAACACAAAATTCAACTGGCTTACAATTAAACTATGTACAAATCAAAATCCAAAGACATCAAATTGGATCCCTTTGTTAATGAATCAAAATTCAACTGTTCATATAATCAACAGATAAATATGTAATCAAAAACATATGCAAAGAGAAAGATTACAGAGCTTCTGTATATAAACAGTAAAATTCAGAGTTCTGTATTGTAAATCAGATCTCTCATTATACCAAGCTAAACATAAAAAGATGTTTGAATAAGACTTCAAAATTTTAATGTTGTACCACTTTTTAAAAAATAAAGTGAAATTAGAGATAAACTCTAGCCACGATAAAACAAATCTAAGTTTACAAAAAAAGAAAAAAAAAGTTTGTTATATAAAGTTCAATAAATAAAAATCACTATAAAAGTTAAAAAAAACATTCTCAAAGAGCATTTTGATTATTATTAATGTAAATAGATTAATAGCCATTTCATAATTAGGACGAAATGTTTTCAATAAAACACAAGAGTCAATGCAAGTAAAAACCTGAGTTTCTTCAAGCTAACAAATTCTGCAAGAGAACACAGAGAAGCTCAGAGAACACAAAGTATACACATCCCACCTACTTTCTGAGCAGGCAGTCTGCTTACCTAACAATCATCTCAACATGACCTCTCCAAGAACACGGCATAGTTCTGGTATTTCTATAATGGTCAACACTCGTGAAAAACCATCCTTGAACATACAGGATAGCATTCTCTCTTCCAAAATATGCCCAAGAAAGTGTTTAACTGTTGTAACTGTTCAACCAAAACTTTGTGAAATAGGGAGTCTGGCTTTGCTGGACTGATGTGTTTGGGTGTTCTGTTGCCAAAATATGCACCTATTCAACTTGACAATAGAATCGCTTATGAAGGGTGAAGTTTCTGCAACAGTATTTGATACATGAATTATTGTCAGTCATATCATGAACTGTTTTACTGACAACTATCTCTGTTTTTCAAGGATGGTTACAAACTTAAGCACTATAGTTCACAAACATCATCACTGCTAGGTTATGTAGATTCAAACAGAACAGACTGATTTCTATCATCATGAAAACATTGTGTAAACGTTACACCCACAACCAAATGAAAGTGACATGGATGATTATGATGACATACAGCACGAGTATTCATGGTCACATGACTAGCATCAAGTGAGACAAACTATCTACCCTGCTAACAGGACTGTGTACACAACGTTTTTGTGAAGAGACAATCCCCTTAAAGACCATATTTGATGTATTAAACATCCTATTTCAATAAATTTGATATAATTTTTTTTGTAATGATCTTAACAGGCACTGACTTCCTTCTGGTTATATTTTTAATGTATATCAAAATTTGTTTTGTGAAAGTAATCAGAAGCTTAACCTAGTTGAATTGAGGTAATTATTTAAAACAAGTACCCATCCTTTAAACTGTTGCGTGTGCCTTAGGCACTTAAAACATTTCATACAGTACCTAAGATATTACAAAACATGCTAGTTTCCAAACAACTTATTATGTGCCCTGGAGCTTAATACATCAAATATTGTAACATGATGCTATAGCATATGATACTTTCCTCACAACTACTGTAATCATGTCATGTCAACCACAAGCAGGGTAGATTCAATACACACAGGTTCATCTCATCTAACAGTATGTATTGCAGTGTAAATAAACTTACAGCATGTTGTAAAGTCGTATTTATAAAATATAAAATGCTCATAAAATCATGATATATGCCACACAATGTACACAAACAAAGGCACTCCCACACTTCAAGTCTGGGATCTGATCTACTCTGGTTACACACAAAATCCACTATTGTCAAAACGCTTTGAATAAAAGCAAATTGGTTATAACCTTGAGTTTTGTATTGGTCACGGCACCCATTCTGGCACCAGATGTATGATCTTGGTCATGTTGTGTTATCTTAATGTTTGTTAATAATGTTATCGTAAAGCCTTCATGATGGTGAGTAGCAATGACTGCTTAAAGATACATGATTACTTTCTTGTCAAAGAGTGAGTGAGTGAATTGATGGTGAGTAGCAATGACTGCTCAAAGAAACATGACTATGTTCTTGTCAAAGAGTGAGTGAGTGAATTAAGTTTAAAGCTGCTTTAACAGTATTCCAGCTATGTCATGACATGTCAGTTTGATGTGGGAGGAAAGCCTGAAGTGATGCAGATCTCTGCCATTTACCAATTTGGTGAAACCCATAAGCATGAGTATGGCGCTGACAAATCCAGAAACATAATGGGGGTGAACTGGGATTCAAACCCACAGTTATAGGTTTCCGGCGGGCGTAAGGGATGCAACTCTGCACAGCAATTTGCAGCCCCTTAGATGACTTGGTCACCTGTGCCCCCTCATGTAAAAGAATCACAGATTAAGAGTTTAATATGATCACCAGACATGTCAGATGAACACAATGTCATAGTTGTGCTGTAAACATTAATGCCAACCTAAAACAAAGTAAATAATTGCCTGATTAAGATTTCATTGTTTATGTGTTGTTTAACACTGCGCATAGCAATAATCCAGCCATGATAATTGAGTCTGGACCAGACAATCCAGTAATGGACATAATGAGCATCAATCTACACAGTTCATATATGATGACATGCATCAATTGAGTCACCAAGCCTGACCACGATAAAGATTTGAATAAATAAAGATAATCATCATCATTAAGAAGAACTTCTTATAAACGTTCTACCTAATCAAACCTGTTGTAATTGAAAACCATACACAGTTATACAAATTTGTAAAATGTTTCTCCTGACATGTTTTCTTAGCAATCTTGTAACGAATTGTTTCCTTGAATTATCTGGAAAAGGTTCATAAAGTTTCCTGTGTTCTTTGGGATGGAGATTTTTAGAACGGTCTGACATCATGCCACTAAAGGTGGTCAGTTATTACATAGGGACTAGCTGGAGTAACAATATGAGGCCTCAATCTGCCTTAGTTATACAACAAACCACTGTTGGTGCACAGGCGTGTTATTGTACTGATATACACATACTGTCATGGTCGCAAACAAAGGGAGATAACTATGAGATTGTTTCATCTGACACTGTTCCTACTTAGAGTATAGAACTTTGCTGAGATTGTGAAAGATGTCACATAGACAGAAGTTGTGTGGAGAACATGAGCTTGGTTGTAAATGGAAATGAATATTTTGAAATACAAAAAAATTAATAACAAAAAGAAGAAGAAAATCAATGTTGATACAACCGTCTGAGGTAGGTGTTTTATGGTCAAACCTGTGCAAATGTCAAACATAATTTTATGTCTCTATAATGTATATGGTATATATATCAATGTAGAGTACATGCTACTTGCTGTAATCCATCCACAGACCGTCACGCACAAAAGCTTCCCAAACGTATTGTCTCAAATTAACAATTTGTCAATTATTTCTCATACATACATAGTAACTCTACGCATTTAACAAAACAGACAAAGGCAAATCCATTTAGCTAAAACCTGTCATTATCATCTTACTTTTTGTTAGTACCGGTGCTTGTTTGGCATTGTCTCCAGGGAAACATTATCAAGTCCAGTATATGACAGAGATAGTGTTGAGCAAAAAGTACTCCAACTGATGTATTCTTTCCCAATGAGCATGTGGATGACTAAATGTTAAATGTATAAAATATGAGTGATGCACAAACTCTGGCATTGGTGGAGCATGCTATGTTGAAATGATGTCTCGAAAACAGTACCTGATAAAATATCAATTAAATGTTCTAAAAAAATACAGCACTGGTATAAAACATTTAAAAAACTTTTTGACCAAATATTCACTCATTCTGGCATACAAGTGCGCTTAGAGATGTACATTTCTCTTTGCCACACAATGAGATGAGTCTGTGCGGTACTTTATAATTCTATCAACATTGTTTAAGTATATTAATAAATATATATGTATATATACTCTATGTTATACCATACCTAAACATCTGACATGTAGTATCCTAAATATCATGACGAACATTTAAGAGTATTACACGGTCATACGATATGTTATGCTGACTCATTTGTCATGTTAATTAAATACTAATGTGGAAACAATGGGAATATAGCTGAAGACGACTGATGGATGAGGCATCACAGACACAGTATGATCAGACCATAGCTAGCAAGGCTTTATCTGTGTGTTACTCTCTACAATTGAAGGCCCAGATCAGGCCATATGGACAAAGCTAACAAGGCTTTATCCTTGTATGACTCTCTACACTAGAAGGCCCAGATCAGAGCGAACTGGATAAAGCTAGCAAGGCCTTATCCTTCTGTAATGCTCTACACAGGAGGGCCCAGATCAGACAGTGCTGGAAACAGCTAGCATGGACTTATCCTTGTGTACCTGAGCCTTCAGCATCCTGAGAGAACACCTTAAACAGTAGGCTACCCAAATATACCTTCCCATCTTACTGGGAAAAGCTAGCATGGTCTCATTATTATGTCACTGTCTGTATTCGACCTAACAAGGCAAAGCTTGGAAAAAAACCTTGCTAGAACCAAGTATTTTCTGTATCCAGTCATAAAACTAATTGACGCATAGTAACCTTCACAAATGGTTTCAAGGAATTATTCTGGTGGTTATTGACTGCATTTGTAGGTGTTTCAGTGTATTGTGATGGAAACATCCCCCTGTATTGCTATGGTATTACATGATGTAGCGGTACGTTGTACTTGGATGGACTTGGATGTACTATACATCACTAGCAATACATCATAAAGGATGATGCTACCTTCTATTAAAGCATCTGCAACATCAACTTTCATAAAATATTTTGATACTTTTTTCTCATAAATTAGGATCTTAAATAAGATAGTACAGGTGAACCAATTTGATTTTCTGATTTTGTCTATGAACAAACCACACTGGCATTACAGTCTTATGTCAGCCTGTGAGCCAATCAGAATTGATGACTAAACATGGAGCCAGTAGGAAGGACCATTACATCTCACTCTTCATCACTGGCACTTCCTTCACTTTCTACAGGTGGCTCGATACCGGTGCGCAGTGTGACCTGGACGTTGCGGTTGATGCTGACAGCGGGGAAGAAGACACCGTGGAGGTCGGTGAAGGCGATTGGTCCATGAGGTTCATCATCGATGAAGTAACTGAGGGTGTGGTTGTTGAGATCCAGTATACAGCCAATCACTGAGCTGCATTTGATGCCCCCGTCAGTGCGGTTGGTGTGTTCATCTCGGTGGATGAACCAGCTTCTCTGGTAGTCAATGTACATACTCCAGGCCTTGTCATCCTTGCCTGCAACACAAGGGCAACAATAAACTCAAGTCCTATATATCACCAACTATACAATGGATACAACAACCAAGTAAAACCCTTCACAGTTTGTGTAGCTCCATCAGAATGATGTAGGGCATAGATACAGTAAAAAATTAAATACGCCTTCTCCTCATGACAAATAACATATCATGTATATATAATTTCTCTAACTTCAGGGCAAATATTAAAGGCTACATAAAAATGTACTTGTTTCTTGGGTAAACTTTTCTTAAAGTAGGGAGAATGTTTAAATTTTTCTTATTGAAAACAAAAGTTATGTGAGAGGAATACTTTATTTTTTTCTGCCATCAAAATACTAACAAACAGAACTGGGCACATGCGCCTCTTTCATATGATGTCAGTTGTCAAACATGTCATTTTTACAGATAACAGAGAATGCTTCATATGATGCACAAACATTGAAAAATAATAATTTTATTTTGCGAAAAAACATGACACGCATGCTTCAAAGTAATGCGTCAATACCTGAGAAACATTTCACACCTTAGCTAAACATGACAGTGAATGTTATGTCAAGTGGAAAAATCAATATTCAAGCTACATCATGGAGACCTGTGTATAATCAACATCCTATGCCAGGCAAACAAGTGATTGATAGCATAAGCAAAGGGCCCATCTCCGTGAGGAACCTGATAGTTTAGCATGTCCAACTCTGTATTATAGTCTCGTGTCTGACCACCATCAACAAAGATTCCCCATCTGTAACACACCATCCTATCATGTTAACATCCTGAATTATTCATGAAGCAATGTGAAGACAACAGAACATAAACCAAATGTTATGTCCCCTTCCAAGTGTCCACTCGAGGATACAAATGGTCATTGTGAAGGTTAGTGAAACTGTTGCACAATGCTGTAGCCATTCATATCACAGCAGCCAATAAATAATCAATTCTTATCAGACAAACCAGTCACTGAAAGAATGATGGCATGATGGGGTATGATGGCACACAATCAGAGAAGACCTGATACCCCTTTTAAGTTGGCTCTTACGACAAGCAGGGCCCCCATGGGGACTCTGTGATAGAAAAGGTCCCTAGCAATCTATGCAGGTCATAACAGTAGGCCAAATGGATTCGATGGTCAGGCTCAGTGACTTGGTTGATATTGTCTGGATCCACCGGATTGTCTGGTCCAGATTTGATTATTTAACGGCCGCTGTCATTTGGCTTAAAAATATTGCTGAGTGAGGTGTTAAACAACACACTTACAACAGGCATGAGTAACTTCAGACCAATTCTAACACGGACTCCTCACAAGTCTCAGTCATGAAGGTATACGCTTCATACAAACACGTTATCATCATGATTAATTGTGATTGAGAACAACACAACTGCACCAAAAGGCACAGACTAAACTAAATTGCATGTCTTCAATGTCTGGACTGTGTGTCAACACAAGACTTGGAAGGTACAAATCAGACGTAGACTAAACACAGAGCAAGTACGTTCAGTCTGACTCCATGACAGTAACTCAAAGAGTTTATGGCAGCTGTTGAGTACACCATGCACATAGAAGACAGAAACTGTCTCATCTGGAGCCATATTTTCCATTTGTTACTCAACCTGAGAGCGTTCTTATGATGATCAGGTACATATTTAATCACCATGACATATAAGGGAATCTACATGTCTGAAGATTGTGGAAATGGTTGAGTCTAGATTGCCTTCTACCAGCCATCCGTTCATTACCATGCTCCACTAGCTAGCTGTAAATCTATCAGTATAACTCAAAATAATGCCATTTTTGACAGGCACAAAGTGAAAAGATGACTAATCATTATGCACTCAGTAGTCGTAAATTGTGACATTTTCAAAATTACATTGTTAACATTTGTAAAATCCTTCAATCTCGTAATTCAACTAACATGCTCGTAACCTCCCATAACACAACATTTTCAGGAATCGTTAATATTCCCCCAAGAAATTAATTACTCTGTGGTAGTAACAATTTCTTCGTATGAATTATGTATTCAAACATCATTAAATGCCATGATGGATTTTATTTTACTTTTTTTTACAACCAAAAATAATCTCCCAAGAAGATTGTGTTCACGGCATTCATGGTGTCAGGATGGTCTTCCTGAGCTCAACTGGCAGCACATTAAGACTAATGGTGATTATTGGGGCAGAGGCAAGAGACCAATGTCTACTTTTTTTAACAATTTTCGAAAAGAAATTACATTTTTATCTCTTATGTGTACAGCCACAAATTATTTCTTTTTGTCACTGGTGGGAAGGGAAATTCAGATTGTGTCTTCACGCCTCTTCCTTCCACAATATATGTGTCTGCCAAAGAAATTTATCTCCTCTGCAGGAGTGTCACAGAGGGACAATAAAATGGGCAACATGGCACCTCCTGATTGTCTTTTATGGAATGTCTTTCTAAACATTATTTATTGCTAGACTGTATTGGCAGACATTTTGAATGAGCCAAACATAGATCAAGCTATGGCAGTTGTCAGTTTACATATCAAGACCTCTGAACAAACACTGTTAGCATTTGTAGCTTTTCAAGAAGAAGTGTGTTTATCTTGGTTTTTATTTCATAAAAAAATGAAACACCAAAAAGTAGACATTACTCTAGATTTTAGGAGTTTTCCTTCTTTTGAGCTAAAGTGTTTAGAATGACCGGTCTCCTATTTTTGGTGAGGTAATCTTACTCCTGGTTCATCATAATCACCATAACAACCCTAAATTTCTTTTTCAGAAACAAAGGATAGTGTGAATCCAAAGAACTACTGATTCATATTGGGGCTCTATACATTTTCTCCTGCGATGAGGAAAATATATTTTGTATTCACCTGAAATTACTTGGCTACATAGAGCTGTTTGGACATATCATGGAGTTATTGTTACATCACGATATTTCACTAATTAGACATTAGGTCACTGTAATGTCATAGTGAGGTGAGGACCTCTAATAAATAGTGTTATAACATCTCTGTTGGGTGATAATAAAGGATGCTCACATGACTCAGAATCATAATATCTCCTGCTTGTGGTTATCCTGCATGAATTAATCTATATTTCTTTGATAATCCACAAATTCACAATAATCATTATTTTCTAACATAAACAACCTAGCTATACATCACCCTAAATCATGTAAACTGCCCCTGCATTTCCTACATCCCCAACCCTCACAGATGAATAGTTTACAAATGAAGTAATTCATTGCTCATTATGACAATAAATACAGGTTATTTGGATCCAAACCCCAGCATTTTTCGGGAATAATTCGCAGTTAATGTCGAGTTACCAGCAGATGTGCAATCAAAATAAAACAATATCGTTAAGGATCAAATATACAGAAAAACAAATATGGCTCTCTTCCCTACAGCGGCAAAGGCAATGTTGCGGCAGATAGGTACTGAACCACCAACATCGATAACGAGGCTATGCATGTTTTTGAAAACCAAGTTGCGAAAATATTGTTTCAAGTGCAAAAAAAGTGTGTTTGACACCTGGTATATGCTCAGCTGTCTGATTGACAGGTTGCTGATTAACCTATTAGAGGATGTGTAGCAAATATTTATGTGTGGTATGATTGGACTCTAAATGTCATAGGTGTATGGCAGATATTACAGTGTAATGTGGGCTGCATATTGTTGCACACAGGTAAGTGGTGCCATCAGATATAACACTGTAAATATGGCATTATGTACACACATGTCATCGAGATTTGGGAGTATGATACAGCATGGGAGCCTTACTCATAAATAAAAAGTTATAGCCAAAATTAAATTTAGTAATAGATGTGTTACATCTGGCCTAGATTCCAAATGAAACATCTCACTTGGCATAATAGTGCACTCGAGAACTAAATAATACTATTTATTGCAAACTGCAGTATGAATAAATTTGAATAAATCACATTACAATGGTTGCATGTGTATCTCCAAGACACCCAAAGATATACCATTGGATCACCTGTGTCCTGAACAGTTTCAGGCGGTACTTTGTATTGAATACCAGTAGTGTTGCTGATATGAAGTAGGTCTATGACGAGTGGAGTGGTGGACCCACAGCAGCAACAGCATCTTCCTAACCCCATCACCATCAGTCACCACCTTATGATGGTATCGTATCCGTTTCATAATTTGATCCGAGACAAGAATGAGGTGGTACTACCAAGTGTTAGAGCAGCCCAAGGCAACAATTATGCTACCTCCCTGTCAGAAGAGTTCTACCGACACACATCTCAAGAATGTAGAGAGTGTCGGAGGCCATTGGTAGCAATGTCAGTATGGCTCTGGTGGTCGGTGAAAACAACAAAACTCGACAGCAGTACTTCGTATGTAGGTTCAGAATGCTCCTGATGCTTGTGAGGGCAGAAGACTTGCGGGTCTGTGTTTATTTCTGTATCAGGTCATCAATGATTGGATCATTACTACATATATATCTATCACTTTAATTAAGACCTGCTACTATTTTCCTATAAACTAAGGTCAGACCTAGACATAGAGGTGGAATTCCTAACCAAGATACATCTCTTTCAGTTGGATCTTGTCTTCTTATCAGGTGATTTATGCTGAAGTCTTTGTACCCAGGTACAGTAGGAATTGTTCTGGTCAATAAACACAGATTTGTACATCAGATGTCTGGCTCAACTGAAGGGGCTTCAAGGAGAACAAACGATCATCTGAGGCCAACCATTTGGCACTGGGTAACTCTTTGTTTCGTTACTTGGTGTAATATCTAGATGTCTGAATGGCCAGTTGCCATCTTGTTAAAAATAAAAAAATAGATCTGTCTGTATGGCCTTTATGACATAATAATGTTTGATGTAACAGCAATTACTCACCATGTCACTGTTACAGTTTGCACTTGAAATATCAGTATTTTCTGGTGGCCTATTAGACAGATCTTCCACAGGCACACAAAAATATATATAACAAAATTATTGCTTAAAATGATAACTTAATTGCATGTACCAACATTGGTGGGTAGGGGATT